CACACACATTTGCATTCTGTCATGCCCTCTTTCTTTGTCTGTGCTCTTTGTTTGACTACAATAGACATAGTGCTGGTGGTCATTTTTGTAAATCAGGTCAGCTTCATCAAATTTTAAAAGACAGAGTCACCACACTACCATACACTTATAACAGTGTGGACAATGACAAACAACAATACCAGTTGGCTCAGTGAAAGCAGGTTGAGTCTCAGAAAGCATTGCAAAGGTCTGCTTTTAAAAGAGCTGACATCCTGACAAAGCTATTCATTGCTTTTATTGGCAGCAGGAGAAGCAGCAAGGGAAGGGTCCTGTAGACCTTTTTGTGTGTGAAAGAGTCAGACACATGTGGGCTTCAGGGCCAGGTTCTATTGTGTTTGCATTTCGTTTTGGCACTGCAAGACTACGAGACCTAAGCAGCACTCTGGCTAAGAACACATCTTCCACACTTGCATGATTTCAATCATGATGTGGATATGTGCCCATGAGCCTACTGTTACTGATTTAAACTGTTGCCTTTGGTGTTTTTATCTGTCCAAAAGTACCCAACAGCCTCTTTGCCCCAGAGGGGGGAAGGCTTAACTGGCATAATGATGGTATTTGGTCCCATGCCCTTACGGTTCATGCCAAAGGAACACAAGGAGGCCAAACAATGCCCAGATTATTAATAAGCACTTGTAAACTCGAATAGTTTATAGTGCAATCAACTGGTACACATGCAGGGAGTTATTAGCTCATAACCTTTCTCTGTTCGAGTACTTGTCACTGGAGAATTGCAAAAGAAGTTAAAGTTGCTGACAATGTTGCCATTATTGTATTAAACATAGTTTGCATTCTCAAAGAGAAACTGTGTCCAAAGGCTTATTTAAATTATTTTTTACTTACAGTAGGACGGATTAAGTGGTGTTGGTTTTTAGGAATTTAGATTAATGCTTAGCAAGGATACTCTCCAAGCACTCTCTCAGCTCGTTCTTTTGTCTTGCCACTTTTTTCCTTATTATTCTTGTACAATGTTTCTGC